CCAGGTTGGATTACTGGTCAGGGCATATGCCCGGGTTGCTGGCTCGATCCCCAGTAGGGGGTGAGCAGGAGGCAGCTGATCAATGATTCTCTCTCATCATTGATGTTTCTCTCTCTCTCCCTCTCCCTTCCTCTCTGAAATCAATAAAATATATTTTAAAAATAATTTTTAATGGATCAGTTTACATTGTTCTGTAATTTGCATCTCTTTTTTTAAAATTGATTTCAGAGAGAAAGGGAGAGAGAGAAACATCAATGATGAGAGAGAATCATTGATTGGCTGCCTCCTGCAAGCCCCCTAGTGGAGATTGAGCACACAACCGGGGCCTGTGCCCTTGACCTGAATTGAACCTAGATCCTTCAGTCTTCAGGCTGACGCTCTATCCAATGAGCCAAACTAGTTAGGGCAATCCCATTTTTACACATTAAAAAATGTCCATTTACAGACATAAAATCACTTTAAAGGTTCAATTGGTGAAATATACCTAAAGATTCAGAAGAATCATCAACTGGAACAATTTTTCCCTTTATCCGTTTCTTTCCCATGTTGGCACTTCATGGATTACTTCCTGACACAAAATAACAATCTAGGAAACAAGATAAAATTAGCTTGATTAAAAAAAGTTCATTTATGCTTTTCTGAGACAGTAAGAGAACTCAGCCACAGGTAACATTTTACATGTTTATCACACATTATAATTTATAAAGACCATTCACATATATCATGTAGTTTTCAATAAAAACTGTGAAGTAGAGAGAATAAATGGTACTACACCAGTTTCCTAGCTTAGGAAACAGATTCTTAGTCAGGTTAAGAGATTTTCAATAAACGTGAAGGTCAGGAGAGAATCCAGGTCTTACCAAGACCTGAAGTCTCAGCACGTGACACCATTTGGATTCAACTTCTCACTAAGCACGTGTGGAATGCTGGTGGCACGCAGACGATGTCCCTTCCCTTCTAAGTTGCCTTTCTTCCTTTCTTTAAAATATATTTTTATTGATTTCAGAGACGAAGGGAGAAGGGGAGAAAGATAGACACATCAATGATGAGAACCAATCATTGACTGGCTGCCTCCTGCACGCCCCACACTGGGAATGGAGCCCATAACCCAGGCATGTACCCTGACAGGGATTTGAACTGTGACCTCCTGGTTCATAGCTTGACACTCAACCACCGAGCCACGCTGGCCAGGCTAAGCTTCCTTTCTTAGCTCTGAGGTCTATGCAAATTAAATCGATAATTTCTCTAAGAAAAATTATAAACAATTCTGAAAACAAACTATTAAAGGGACTTAGAAAATTTGCAAAATAATTACCAGGCCAAATACAAAACAATGATACATTGTTCTGCATTTTCCACACCAGGACTTCCTATATGAATACTACCCTATATGGATATTATATGACAATTTATTATAATTGCATTGTCAAATATTTATATACTTGTGACCCAGTGCATGAAATTCATGCACATTAAAAGGGAATTAATTAGAGGAAATATTTTAATATTGCTATTTGCCCTTTCTCTATAATAGAAGTGTCAGAGATGAAAGAAAATGAGTAAAATATGTAAGAAAATCTCCCTCCTGTCAAAGTCTGGGGCATGCTGTGGGACCCAGATTCAAGTTCCCATCCACCCGTGTGCACCTTGAAATCGTGGGAGACCCAGACCCGGCTGGCCTCACCCCCATCAAGCCCCGCAGGGCGGGGGGCCCGGCCTCAGGTCCCCCAGCCCCAGCAAGAGGACCATTTGCATATTAGCTCTTTATTACATAGGATTATATAGGATTCATATGATAAAGTCAGTTTGGAATACTAGGACAAATCTAGCTGCACATCAGGTCTGCACCTCCTGAGGCAACAATGCAAACTTAGTAAATATGAAAAGTGCTGAAAGTACATACAGGTCTATATAATTTTAAATAATAATAATGATTTTGAAAAGTTGCATTTAACAGACATTACAATAGCTTAGTGTCAAAATCACTGAATATCTGACCTGGCATGCTTACTAGAATTCTGATTACATTAGTGGAGAGTAAGACTTGGAACATATGTTTTGAAAACACTTCCCAATTAATTCTGCTACTTAGCTGTCACCATGTCTTGTCTTAGAATCTTACAAGTATTCCTCTTTTAGCTCTTAATGGGTTAGTGTAATTACAGGTAATTCAAAAGGCCTGTACGAAAAATTAGTACCACATCAAGTAATTGTTAACCTTTACAAAGATAATCTAAAATGTAACAAGTTCACAAAGCAAATAAACTAACAAAAGAATACAAAGTATATAGGTGTATATAATACAAGGTATATTTTATGTATGCTTTCTTGCCCTAAAGATAACATTTAACATAACTTATCTAGAATTGGAGATGCTAGGGGAAAAAATAGCACTCAAGTTCTTGCCTCCAGTCACACGCCCTCTAACCTGCGCTGCATTCTTCCCATGACGCCATTTCCATCGCGTCCCCCTCCTGACTGACAGCATTTAACAGGCTCCAGCCCGCATTCCCCCGCCTGCACCCAGGTCCTTCACAAGCTGTCCCCAGTGCTCTGCAATCCTGACCCTCATGACTTCTCAAGTTTAATCACACGGTGCTCTGCTCCCAAAGCCCTTTCATGATCACCATCTCATTGGCGTTCACAACTCTGCACACGGAGCATTTCACTAAAGGAGGAAACTCAAAAACAAGATGACCAAGGACCACAGGGCGTCAGAGATGGCACCCAGGGCGGACCCTTCTCCCCCGTCAGTCCCTGGTGCCCGCCGCTCCAAACACCTCCCTCTGACCGTATCCTCCACCGGGACAAGTGCAATTTCTCCACCGGGGATCTAAAGCTCTGGGAAAAAGAGCGGTTTTCGGCATCGCCTCCGATTTGCCCAAAACAGTGTCGGCAGGTCCTCAAGAACCACTTCGCGCATGGAAATACCTGACGCACTAGGGCTGATTACAAGGTGCAGAGGTACGTACAAGAGAAGGAAGCAACCGAGTGGAGGAGGTGGCGTCCGCTCTCGGAACTGCCGGGAGAGAAACCCGAGGATGAGCGGCGCCTGGACCGTGCGGGTCCCGCCTTCAATGCCGCGGAAACAGCCCCAGTGACATTCCGACATCCGCGCGGGGCCTCTAGTGAGTCAGGAGGAGACAGCACCGTGGGCACCGCCAGCTGTAAAACATCAAGAAACCTCAGTAAGCGCGGCCGTTGTTGCTCAGGGGTGAGCGCCGACCTAGGAACCGGGAGGCCAGGGTTCAATTCCCGGTCAGGGCACAGGCCCGGGTGAAGGGTGTGCAGGAGGCAGCCGGTCCGTGATTCCCTCCTGTCATGGATGCTTCTCTCTCTCCCACTTCCCTCTTCTCTGAAATCAATAAAAACACATTTCTCTAAAAAGCATAGAAGCGCCTGGACTGCTGTCAGCAGGTCTGGACCGTGGCGCCGAGTTTGGGGTCCGACCCTGGAGCACAGGGTCTCCGAGGTGACGGCCCGCTTCCCCCGCGCCCCAGCCCTCTCCCCGCAACGGCCGCCATCCTCGGGAACCGCGGGCCCCCGGGGCGAGGGGGCCGCCAGCACCCACAACTCATGGGGCAGCTCCTGGAAGTGACAGGACGAGGACGGCGAGGCCGCGGCGCCGGGCGAGGCCGGGACCCGCGCTCCGAGCGAGGCCGCGGCGCAGAGAGCGAGGCCGGCAGGAGACTCGCGCCCCGGGCGCAGGAGGCCGCGCGGCCAGGCCACGACTCACCCGCGGCGACGGCGCCCATCCCAGCGCTCCTCGCGGACCCCGCGCGACCGGCTCCGTCCTCCTCCCCGTGGCGAATAAGAGGCGACGGAGCGGAAGACTGAGCGGCCGGACAGCAGCCGCTTCCGGTGAGCGGCCCTGCGGTGCGCATGCGCGCGCTTCGCGCCAGAAGTGCAGTCGCCGCGTCCCGGAAGGTCTGATCCAGAGGGAGCTGGCCCGCGGGGCGGGGCTGTGGGTTGCTCACCTGCTGGTTAGGGGAGCGGCGACCGCCGGCGGGCGGGGGCCCCTCGTTGCTCCTCAGGTCAACGCGGGGCGTCGGCAGCCCTCCTGAGCTTCGGTGGGCCCCAGCGCGGCCCGTGTGGACCACCTGCGGTTCCGTCTGCTGGTTCCGGACCCATGGGCGCCGAGCCCCGTGGGGGGAATTAAACAGGTGGGCGCAGCCGGCCCGGTCTGACCCGGAACACTGCGGCAGGAGGACGCGGGTGTCCACAGAAATGCGGTCCGGGGACTAAGCGGCGCCTCCCTTTCCAGCCGCGGGCCCTGCCGGCAGGTGCGCCCCCTCCCCCGCGGCCAGCACCGGCGGCAGTGAGGCTCCTGCGGGACCGAGCAGCCCCGCGGGGCGCCTCCCATGTGCGCCAGGAGGGGACGTCGTGGCCCGTGGGAGCCCCGCAGGCACTGCCCGCGTTCCCTCTCCAGCCCTGACCCACGGCGCTGCCTGCTCCCCGCTCCCGCCCCCGCCACGGTCAGCATCCTCCTGCCTCGGCCTGAGGGTGCTGGGCCCCCAGACCGCCCCGCTGGCTCCTGTCCCCTTTCCGCCCTTGCGTCCTAACAGCCATCCGCTGGCCGCGCCTGGCTCCTCCCTCCGGGGGCATCCGTGGCGGCAGAGATTTCCTCGTCCTGTTGTTGATCGTTATCAGTTGGTGCCCGGACCGTGCCGGACACTAGTTGGGTGAGCGGCCAGTGCGGTCCTGGCGGGCGCTGTAGGGCGCTGCTCGTGCCGAGCTCTGTGTGCACTTTCACAGCCGCCCTCGGGCCTCCCAGCAGCCGTCTCCCCGCTTTGGAGATGGGGAGACTGAGGCCCCAGAAACCGAGCCGCCGGCCTAAGGTCATGGGCGGCAGGTGGCACTTGGGCCAACGGCAAGAGCGCACACTTAACCGCTACAAAGACCAGCGCGACTTCATTTCCTCCGATAGCCACCCAATCAATACGCTGTTTCCTGGAGTCCTCAGCCCCGAAACACGCTAGAGAAGGTATTTTTGGAATTCTAATAAGTCCAGGGATCTTAAACGTCGTTTGAAAAGGACTCCATGAAGATGGAACCTAGCCTTGGTATTGAACGACTTTAAGTTGGGGCGGCGAGATGACCAGCCAGGAATGACTCCTGTGTCCAGAAGAGCAAACGCCGTTAGGTCTGGAGGAAAACGCCCACTCTCATGATCAGGGTCAGAAAGGTTTGGGATACAACACATACTAAACCCGCCTCTTAGAAATTCATGGTGCATATTGTGATCTAGCAATAAAGGCTGAGCAGCCACACACACAGAAAGTGCCCATATAATTTATTGTCCAAATGCAATCACTTGTGTCTAAGCTAAACACTAGATCAGTCAAGGTAATAGGACGACCATTCTTGGACACCCTACAGAACCTGCTTGAACTCTGTCATTCTGCATCTCAAGAACTTATTTCAAGAGAAAATGCTTTTGTGTCATGTTTTCCCAGCGTGGCGCTGGCACCGGGACTTCAGTTGGAACCACACTGGCATTAGGAATGATGTAGTGTCGTCATCGGCTCACACTCACCGGTGCAGACAGCCCAGCGGGTGCGAGAGCGCTTCCTGTTTTCCCGATTTGTGTTCAGTTCATCCTAATGAGCTCAGCTCCCCTGACATTCAGTCATCCCCGTAATTTGTGGTGTGTTTTCGACAGGATCCATGGCAGCTAATGTCCTAAAGGACTTGACGATGGATCATCCCACGCAGCCTGTGGGGAGTGGGTCCACTCAACATGCTGGTACTTCCTGCTTCTGAGTCTGAAGTGAACAGCCAGATGGTGAACCTGGTCAGTTCACTCCACAGGGAGCTGTCATGGTCAGCCAGCTTGCGTTCCCCTCAGATGGCAACGCTGCTGCCCAGGCACCAGGTACATTGACTTTTTTCTAAGCAGGATGACAGAGCTGCTGGTGCTCTCTTGCTGGTCTCATATACATCTGTCAGACACCGCAGACAGCCAATGGAATGACTGTGCTGAGCGCAAGCTGACCGAGAGACATTAGAACCAGACTCCGAGTAGGAGGACACGAGGGTCCGGAAGGAACTGAACAACACACACTCGACTGTGAAGCTGTGAGAAGAGCGTTAATGAAGGGTCTGTTTACAGAGGAGTGGCCAGGTGTAAAGGAGCATGAGGCGGCCTGGAAGGTCTGCTGGAGACGGGAACAAGGGCTGCCTGCAGAGGGGTGGTCTTCCGCCCGTCCCAGCCATTGTCAGAATCCCACCAGAGCAGAGACCGCGGAAAAGGACCATGACTCTCCTCCCATCCTCCACATCCTGCCAGCCCATTGGCTGAACCCGACCACAAGAAAGGCACAGGAGTCGGGAGCTGGAGGCTGTGGAAGTCACCTGCCCGGAGAGGAAAGAAGGGCCCACATGGGTTAGGGCCAAAGTAGCCAGCGCCAGAGGAAAGAGTCCAAATCATGAGCCTCTGGATTAGGCCTTGGTAGTTGGGTTGTGAGGCAGGGACAGGTTCAGGGCTCGGTGATTTTTCTGTGCTCTCCGGCCTCGCAGACCTTTCTTCTCTCTCCCCATTATGCCTCCCACTCCGCTTGTCTAAGTCGTACCCTTCTTTCAAGGCTCAGCTCAGTTCCTGTGGCCTTTGCCAAAAGTTTCCTGGTGGCCCATTTCATTATTGTGCCCTCATCTTACTCCCCATGCCTGTAACAATATTTATACTGATCATTTAACACCAAGTCTTTGTATCTTCATTGTTCTAGATCTTATTAATGACCTGATCCTCAAACTAAATAGAAGGCTCGCCCTCGCTGATTTGGCGCAGTGGATAGAGCGTTGGCCTATGGACTGAAGGGTCCTGGGTTTGATTCCAGTCAAGGGCACCTGCCCAGGTTGCAGGCTCCATCCCCAGTAGGGGGCGTGCAAGAGGCAGCCAATCAATGATTCTCTCTCATCATTGATGTTTCTATATCTCTCTACCTCTCCCTTCCTCTCTGAAATCAATAAAAATATATTAAATAAATAAATAAATAGCTCCAGGAAGGAAGGATGGGTGAAGCTCTACATATAGTAACTGCTCGATAAAACTACCAAAGGGGAGAAAGAATTCCCCGAGGATGCCACTAACATAAATAATGGTGTTTGATTTCACTGAGTAAATTCTGTTTAAGAAGATAAGTCATGTTTTCCTCTAGAGCAATGGGACTGAATTTTTTATGAGCGTAAACTTTCTTTTTTTCTGTGAAATTTAAAAGTACTGCAGGCTAATCACAAAACTTCAAATGATATTGAAGCGTCCGAATTGGAAAGTAAAAATCTTTTCCTTCTTCCTTGTACCCACGTTTAGTCAACTATTAATAGTTGCTTCATTTGTCTTAGAATGTCTTGATTTCTCTTTCGTTCCTGAGGATGTTTTCACTGGATGTAATACTGTGGGATAATCTCTCTTTACTTTCAGCCCTTGGAAAATATTATGACCCTTCCTTCTGGCCTCTATAGTTTCTGATGAGAAATACTTTCTTACATGAATTACTTTTCCTCATTTATCTCTTGCTGCTTTCAAGGTTTTCTTCTTTGTCTTTAGTTTTCAGATGTTTGATGTGTCTTGATATGGATTTTTGTGGGTTCCTCTTGCTTGAGATATGTTCAGCTTCTTGAATTCATTTATGCCTTTTGACATATTTGGAAAGTTTTCAGCCATTATTTCTTCAAATACTTTTTCAGCTCTGCCTTCTTCCTCCTCTCCTTCTGGGACTCAGATGACATAAATGTTGTTAGGTTTTTTGTTATAGTCCTGTATGTCCCTAAAACTCTGTTTGAATGACACACACACACACACACACACACACGTGCGTGTGCACACACACACAAGACAATGTATTCATAATTACTTTTAAAAAGGAGGGAACTATGTAAAAAATTTAAACTTTTGTATGGCAACTTTCTGGAAGGCAAGTTGATAATATCTACCCAGATTTTAAATGTTGAACTTGTTGTTCCAACAAGCCATCTCTGCAAACTTATCCTTGAATATGTAGTCACCAAACTATATACACGTGTGTGTGTGTGTGTGTGTGTGTGTATTGCTCATCAAACTGTATATATGAAAAGAACCTCTATTACAGAATTGTTCATAATAGCAAAAATGTGGGAACAACCCAATGTCCAAGGTAAAGAACGCAATAAATGATGTCTACCTGATTCAGTATGACAGCCCCTAGAGAGAATGAGCTAGATGGCCAGGTACTGGCAGTGACTAGATCTCCAGGTAAGAGGGGTGGGAAGTGGTGGGGGAGATGTTCGTGTCACCCCCTGGACACGTGGTAATTATGTGTATGTGGCTCGCTCTACATGCATTTACACGTTATACCAGCATGTAGTTTCCATTATGTTAATAGGTACAATTTTTTTGGATGTGAAACACCAAATACTCTGGCTTGGATCAGGGACTTAGGTAGGTAGGGAAGAGACTACCAGCAGGAAACTGTATCTTAATTTTTTCCTCTTCTATTTGAATTTTCCAACCTTGTACTTTTTAAATGTTGACAGGGGTTACTTGAGCTGTGGGATAATTAGCAGCCTTTGTTTTCCCTTTTCCCAGTCTCCTGCTTTTAAAACTAATATACTTAATATTAAGAAAAAATTAACCAGCCATAGAATTAGCCCTGCTTACTGTGTTCATTCTAGGTTTCCAAGGTAATCTGTGTTAGCCTCTTTCCTGGCTGTATCATTGATGTGGGTTTTGATTACATTATTCAGTTACTTTTATAAAGTAGATCAAGATGCCAGATCAACTATCTGGATACGTAGGAATTGGTGTGTGGTTATAATTAGAGTTTATTGTTCTCACTGGATTGTTCCATATTAACATATTTCATGTATTACATGCATATTACAGGACATTACAAAGTAGAATAATGGGGAACAATACTCTGATTAAATTTCACATTTTCTGAAGAAATCAAATACTTTTTTAATAAGTACCCTTAGTCCTAAGATCGTATGTGTTAATTGTCTCTTATTCTTACCTCCTTAGAAACTTACAGATACCCAAAAATGGTTGAGATTGAACAGGCTGAGGCCCAGCTCTCTGAGTTAGACCTGCTGGCCAGCATGTTCCCTGGCGAGAATGAGCTCACAGTGAATGACCAGCTGGCGGTAGCAGAACTGAGAGATTGCATTGAAAAGAGGACAATGGAGGGCCGATCTTCAAAAGTTCACTTTACTGTCAACATGAGCCTGGACATGTCTGCGGACACGGTGGTAATTCAGCTTTGCTTTTGGGAGAATTGGAACACGTCAAGACTTAATGCTGAAGGCATTTTCCTTCTCTTTTGATCAGGTGGTGTTTTCTCTGGCCTGTATTCTTCCCTTTGAATACCCTGCAGTTCTGCCTGAAATCACTGTCAGGTGTGTTACAGGAACTGGCTAGCTTTTAAGGTCAAAATTAATTGGAGAATAATAGCAATTCTTGAGTTTGTTTCCTGTTCCAAGAAAATGGATTTAATGTTTTATCCCTTATCTTTTCTACCAGGTCAGTATTATTGAGTAGATCCCAGCAGACTCAGCTGAACACAGATCTGACCGCATACCTGCAGAGGAATTGCCTCGGAGACGTCTGTATACTGAATGCCACCGACTGGGTTAGAGAACACGCCTCTGGCTATGTCAGCAGAGACCCCGCCCCTCCCCCCATTCCAGAAAGTCCAGTCCAGCCTGTCCATGTCATTCTCACGAGACTCTGGATCTATAGCCATCACATCTACAACAAATGCAAACGAAAGGATATTCTGCAGTGGGCAAAGGAGCTTTCCCTGTCCGGGTTTAGCATGCCTGGGAAGCCAGGTGTCGTCTGTGTGGAAGGCCCCCACGGTGCTTGTGAAGAATTCTGGTCAAGGTGGGTGCACTCTCACAAACTCTCTGTGCCGTGCCAATCATCTCAGTTCTCGACTAGATCCTGGAGATGTAAAATAAGTATTTCCCTGGGTGGTGCCTTTGGGAATTCAGTCTCAAGTCATTGGACAAAGTAGAACTCACACGTGGTCACATCACTTCGCTCATCGGACACAGTGCACATGGGAGGGTTCTGTAGAGAGATGTTGCATCACGGCCCTCCCTTCCCATGGATCTGACTCTTCCTCATAAGCTGCATATTCCCTGTGAAGCATGGGGGTTCCTAATCCTCTCACTTCTCTACTGGTTTCCTAAATGAGTATCTGAGGTGTCCCATTTGGGAGTTTGAGAATCAGTACTTTCTGTATCAGTGATAATGCAACAAATAACTTTGGGGACAGGATTATGACCAGAATCACATTTGATTAAAATAAATCCCTGAGATTATAAAATAGATTTCTACCCTTCTAGGAAAGTAATGTTTTCAGTGTTCTTGAATGCACAACACAAGTTTCAAATTTTCTACTTTGAAAATTTCTTTTCAGACTCAAAAAATTAAACTGGAAGAGAATTTTGATTCGCCATCGAGAAGACATTCCTTTGGATGGTACAAATGATGAAATGGAAAGATGGAGAAAATTTTCAGTTTTTGAAGAAAAAGTGTTCAGTGTTAGTGGAGCCAGAGGAAACCACATGGACTTTGGTCAGCTGTATCAATTTTTAAATGCCAATGGATGTGGGGATGTTTTCCAGATGTTCTTTGGTGTGGAAGGACAGTAGCTGAGCAGAGGAGTCACAAAGTATTTTGTCACTGTTGTCAAGAGTGGGTTTTTACCCACTCTTTCTTGAAAGATTCAGTAATTTTCCTTCAGTCCGTTCTAGAATGTTAGGGGTAAAAGAAGAGAAAAAGTATCATAGCTCAAGTGCATCTGTTAAAAATTGTCCTGATTGAAAGCAGAACTGAGGCTTTATTTATAATCTTAAAATTATTGACAGGAATACCTTGGCATATCTACCCATTTTGAAAGAGAAATTAATTTGACTTGAGTTAGATAATATTGGTAGTCCAACTTGCCACCCATTCTCTAACCCATGCCCTTTACCTGCCTCCATGAGCTCTCCCAGCCTCTCTTGAAGCACAGGTGGCCTGGGGATAGGGCTTTGGCTATGGGTTGCCTGGTAAAACTTTTGCTTTCCTGGTTATTATGATTGACACAGCGAGAGCACCTCTTCCCCCTCTTTTTGCTGCAACACCAAGGCTGATGGTTGGAGCTGCAGTAGCCCCTTCATCCACGAGGGCAGGAAGGGCCAGGAGAACCACAGAGATGCCTTTGCCTGTGGTGAGCTGCTGATCCAGCACCAGCCCCTGCCTCGCTGTAGAGAGCTTATCTATCTATATAAAAGCCTGATATCAAAGACCGGGAGACCGGGAGTTCGATCACTCGCCATGATGTGCGCTGACCACCAGGGGGTGGCGTGGAATGAAGGAAGGCCCCGGCCGGCCCTGATCGCCAGTCAGGCCTAGGGACCCTACATGGGCCTCTAGTTATGAAATAAAAACCATCTTATTTATATTTCTGTGCCACTTACTTGCAGTGGAAAGCTATTTTGCCAAATAAATTTTTGAAAGCTTTAGTTTTTAACCCTTTTCGGTCCAACGTGGAGGCTGACTCGACAGACCAGGCGCTAGGAGCAGGTCCAATGTCGAGGCTGAGGTCGACACCGCAAACCGGTTCAACATTCAATCCCATCAATTAATTTGGACCAGACTGTTTGAATTCCAAAAATAAAATTGGACCTCAAAGGTTTAATCTACCCCAACCATTTGATACACAAATATGTGAAGTATTTCTTAAGTAGAGTTTGCAGCTCATATATATTTGTGTATACTTAATGCTCTGTTCCTGAGTTCACCTCACAGAAGGGTAAGGCATGAACTGAGCTCAATCTCTTTTTAAAAAATGTTTTTATTGATTTCAGAGAGAGGAAAGGAGAGGGAGAGATAGAAACATTAGTAATGAGAGAGAATCATTTATTGGCTGCCTCCTGCACGCCCCACATTGGGGATCAAGCCAGAAACACAGGCATGTGCCCTGACCAGAATTGAGCCATGACCTCCTGGATCATAGGTCGATGCTCAACCACTGAGCAACACCAGCCAGGCTGTACATTGTTTTAATAAAAAACACACTGCTATGTACAAATATACAGATCTCAAGTGTAACAAAAAACACATAGAATATAATAATATATTAGTTTTCTTCCTTGAGACAAACCTGTCAAATTTAGACATTGGATTATTGACAGTGACCAAGAAAGTACAGATGTTCCAACCTCATGATTAGTAAATTCCTTTGAAAATGGGTGAGAGTAGTAGTCAGCAAAAAAGAAAACAGCAAGTTAGATGGTCCTACCTACATTAATGTAAGAGACACAATAAAAGTTGTAAGAAGCTAAATGTTAGAGCAATATGGCTTCCTTAGACTTTAAAAATGAATATATATTTGATATAAAGATCCTGAAATGTAAAACTGTTCAATATGTATATTCATTCCATAATGACAATTTTTCTATGTATTATTTCGGTAATATGTCTGGAACTAGAATCATCTATGAAGAAAGTGTTATCCTTAAAAGAAACTATTAATGCCAAATCAAATTATGATTAAAAGTTAAAAATCTAGAAAACAGTGTGAGCAGAAAACATTGGCTACATGTCCACTTTTATTTATAAAAGTAATTCCTATACAAACAACAGTATTCTTTTTTAAGTATGTTTTTATTGATTTTTAGAGAGATAGGAAGTGATTTAATAGCCTGCGTTTCTAACAAACACCCAGATGATGCTGACGATTGCATTTCAAAATCTCACACTGCCCTAGCCAGTTTGCTCAATGGATAGTGTCCTACTGCCACCCTTGTGGGTGGGAGAACACGGCCAACCTCCCCTCCACCGGAACCAATCTCGCCTCCTGCCGCTGAGGAAGCGGAGAGTCAGCACTGTGGGCCCAGGCTCGGCTTCCTATTGGACAGGGGTGACGTCACTCAGGGGGACGTGGCTCTAATTGTGAGGTGATGCCGGAAGGTAGTCAAGGCCGCGGCGGGAGGCGGGGGGCGGGAGCAGAAGTGGGGCGGCAGGAAGACCGAGGTGGGCGCCGGAAGGGGAGGGCCGGGAAGTTGTTCTGTGACCGCTTCCGGAGGCAGGGCCGGAAGTGGTGGCCCGGCTGTGTCAACCCGGGGGCTGCGGGCTGAGTGTGGCGGAGGTCGCGACCATGGGCGGGAAGAACAAGCAGCGGACCAAAGGGAACCTGCGGGTGAGAGCGGGTGGCCGGCCGCGCGGGGCAGGGCCGCGGGGCGGGGGGCGTGTGGCCTCCCGCCTGCGTCCCTGCCGGCAGGGCCGGTGAGCAGGTGGCGGGGAGAGAGGAGGGGGTGCCACGCCGAGCTGCCCCCGCGCACACACTTTCATGAGCAGATGCGTCGGTGCGGTGGGACCGGGAGGGCACCTGCGGGGCGAGCCGGGCCGCGGACTCGGTGGGTGGGAGGCTGCCTGCGGGCTGGGGTCCCGGACAGGCTCTCCCCTCCCGCCTCCTCCCGTCCCTTCTGCAGCCTACGGACCCCTCACGGAGCCGGGGCCTTTTTATTTTAAAAATGTCCTCAGTGTTTTGTTTTTTAAGTATTCCAAACATAAGGAAAAGAGTACCAGGGAATAATATGCAAGATTATTACAACGACAACCAATATATTCGTTACCTAGACTCGCCAGGCGTCAATAATTGGCCATATTTGCTTCCTCTGTCTAATGTATGTATTTTGTTGAACCATATGAGAATTACTTGCAGAAATTCAACTCCAAAGTACTTCACGTGTATTATAAAAATAATGCCATTCTCCGTAACCGCGAACAATTATAACACGCAGAAAAATGTAACTTCCGTATAATACTGTTAGCTAATAGGATACAGCATTGTATTCAGATTTCTGTAGTCAACTCAATGTTCTCCCCTCTCCCTCTCTCGCTCTCTCTCAAATCAATAAAAACATATTTTAAAGGGTTTTTAAGAAATAAAAAAAAAATCCACGATCCAGCCAGAGACCCCTCATTCCCTTTAGTTATTTAGATCTTGACAGTTTCCCAGCTTGTCTTCCCCTGGTGGAGGGTGTTCTTTTATGACATGGACAGTTTGGAAGAGTCCAGGCCAATTGTTTTGCTTAACTTAGAATTGTCTCGTTCCTTATGATTTGATTCAGGTTAAGCCATTTTGGCAGGAATGCTTTGTAGATGGAACTCTGACTTTCTCCCTGTGTCATAGCCTGTTTCTCTCATTACTGGTGGTATTTGTTTCTTTACTTGATGAAGAGAGCTTTTCCCATTGGTTATCTATACTAATAAAAGAGTAATATGCTAATTAGACCGGGAGACCTTCCGGAGACCTTCTGGACGTCCTTCTGGACAAAGCCGGGGGCTTGGCCAGCCTGCAAACCACCCCCAAACAGTCCTCAGCCCCTCGCCCAGGCCAGCCATGCCCCCCAGTGGGGGCCCCAATGGGGGTGTGGCCAGCCTGAAAACAGCCCTCAGCCCCTCACCCAGGCTGGCCATGCCCACCCCCACCCTGAAGGGGGTGTAGCCAGCCTGCAAACCACCCCAGGCCCCTCACCCAGGCCGGCTGTGCCCCCCAAGGGGACCCCATGCTGATCCGGGACCCCCTTCAGGGCAGACCAGCCAGCCCCCACCCACGCACCAGGCCTCTATACTAATAAAAGGGTAATATGCTAATTAGACCGGGAGACCTTCCCGGAGACCTTCCGGATGAAGCCATGGTGGCGTGGCCCAGGCAGAGGCGGTTAAGGGCAATCAGGCCAGGAGGAGAGGGCAGTTGGGTGTGAGCAGGCCGGCGGGAGCGGGGCAGTTAGGGGCAATCAGGCCGGGGGCGGGGGTAGTTGGGGGCGAGAAAAGTAACTGCCAGAAAGAAAATCAAGGTTTTTGATTTCTGAGCTGTGGGTATAAACATCTGATATACAATAGAGTAAAAAGAAACAATAACTGTATTTTAAACTCAAAGTAGCCATTGAGTAAAAGATACAATCAGAACATTGAACTAATTTGTTACTTTTAAAATGGAAACTAGAAATGGGATAGCTTTTCTCCTACGCCCAGTTATCACTGTCCAGCTCTGGTAATTCAGGTCAGTTCAGAATTCAACCTTGACTCCTTTAGCTTTTAGCAATAATTAGTTTTTTTTTTAAATATATGTTATTGATTTTTTACAGAGAGGAAGGGAGAGAGATAGTTAGAAACATCAATGAGAGAGAAATATCGATCAGCTGCCTCCTGCACATCTCCCACTGGGGATGTGCCCGCAACCCAAGTACATGCCCTTGACCGGAATCGAACCTGGGACCTTTCAGTCTGCAGGCCGACGCTCTATCCACTGAGCCAAACTGGCCCCGGCAATAATTAGTTTTTTATGCTACTTCATTCTGTTTTATCATACAGCTGTTTACAAATGGGTTTATAGATAAAATTTGGATGTCCTAAGGTCATCATATTTAGTTTTCAGAATTGTATTTTAGTTCACTAACTTTCTTTGTAGCTTTTTGTTCATGCGTCAATATTGAGAAAGACAAATTGAATAATGTTCATTTAAATAAGGTTTTAAAATAGAGAACCTATTTTGCAATTAGTCTTAAATGCTGCTGTTTTGAAAAAAATGTAATTCAGGCCATCATTTCCATTTCTGGTCACTCAGTTTAGAAAGTAACCCAGAATATTCCTTGACAAATAAGTTTTCCGTACACAATTTTGTTAGGTACAAGCAAACTGAATCACACATTTGGATAGTCCTTTTGAACATTCTTACAGAGAAAAACAGATAAGTTTAGATGGATTGTAATGTCATCCTGGACATTGAACGGAGGCATCTTCCTATTTGATGACAGTACTAGTATGTGAATTTCTTTCAACAGTTAAATATGTTCTTTCTGTCACAACTAATCCCTTTTACTGCTAAGAGACTATCACTTTGTATATCAGTCAAGCAGACCACTGATTATGGTTCAAAACAAAATAATCGTATTGATTTTTATGTCCATAATAATGTAACTTGTAACCATTTTGAATTAATTTTGCATTATTACACAGTATACAAGTGTATATACATATTATTTATACAAATATGGGAAGTAAAACATTTGATAAAGCAATACTTGGGCTTACCATTCGTGATGCATTCTCTGATTTTAAATATTTTAATCTATGTCTTTAAAATGATGTCATGACTCATTAATTTGATATCATCTACCCAGTTTAAAGAACATTTTTCTGATGTTTAGGAAACCAGGAAATGGCTCCTAAGATCATTACTGATAACCTCTTGGTGACAGAAACATTCACCTTTGGGGAACATTGCAATGAAATCTTAGGCTAAGAAGAAGAAGTTCCCAAGTGAAAGCTTGTTCTCCCCTGGGAATTACCAAGGGATGACTCTCAAGAACTCAAAGTTAAATTTTGAACTCTTCCTGGACTCTGACATTTTTTCTCTCCTTTCTTATCAGCCTTCAAACAGTGGCCGAGCTGCAGAACTTCTAGCCAAAGAACAGGGAACCGTGCCTGGATTCATTGGTTTTGGAACATTTCAGAGTGACCTGGGCTACGTTCCTGCCGTTCAAGGAGCTGAGGAAATAGACAACCTTGTAGATTCTGATTTCCGAATGGTGCTGCGGAAACTTTCTAAGAAAGATGTCACCACGAAATTAAAAGTAAGTTTTCTTGCTTTCATGAAAATGATGAAGATAATCCTTTTATTAAGATATCATTGGCATGTTTCATAGAGAGAGAAATGAATCATCACTAGTAATTTCTTTCACAGTTGCACTTTTTTCTGACACACAGACTTAAGCGTAGTTTGCACTTACCTTCTAGGTTATAAATTAGTGTGTTGCTCTGCACTTTTTGGAACCACTTTGGATTTCTCCCTGTATTCTTTTTGTCCCATTAGAGAATGTAATTTAATCCTGTATATCTATCTTTTTAAAAACAACTTAAAATTTTCTACCATACTAGCTTGTAAAGGAACTCTTCAAATTAGTCCTATATAGCACAAATAGAAACAATGTATTCTCCTATTAAATAAAACAGATGAAGCTTCTAGAACAGAATAAATTTAATCAAAAGCCAATATTATGGCTGTTGATCCTTAACAATGTTAATAATTTACTTTAGGCTATGCAAGAATTTGGAACTATGTGTACAGAGAGAGATACAGAAATTGTAAAAGGAGTTCTTCCATACTGGCCAAGAATATTTTGCAAAATTTCACTTGTAAGTATCAAGACTTTACTGGCTTATTTCTGTTGCATTTTTTAAAAATTGACTTTTAGAGAGAGGAAGGCCTTAAAGGGAGAGAGGGAGGTTCAGAGGGAAGGAGGAAGAGAGAGAGAGACATCAATTTGTTGTTCCATTTATTTATGTATTTACTAGAGGCCCAGTGCATGAATTTGTGAACGGGTGGGGTCACTCGGCCTGGCTGGCAATTGGGGCGATCGGGGCCGTCTCACCCAGTCCCGATAGGGGCCGATCAGGGCCGACCAGCTGAAGGGAGGGACTGCAGGAGGTTGGCTGGCCGCGGGAGGTTGGCTGTGGGAGCGCACTGACCACCTGGCTGGCTGGGGGGAGGGAGCGCGGGAGGTTGGCCGGCCATGGAAGGTTGGCTGTGGAAGCGCACTGACCACCAAGGGCCAGCTCCTGCATTGAGTGTCTGCCCCCTGGGAGTCAGTGTGCATCATAGTGACTGGTCGTTTGGTCGGTTGTAATGGTCATTTAGGCTTTTATTCATATAGATTGGTTGATTCATACATGTGCCCTGACTGGGGATTGAACCCACAATTTTGGTCTTTCAGGACAACACTCTAACCAACTGAACTATCCGGCAGGGCCGTTGTATGTTTTTTTTATTGAAATTATAGAGACTGTCAGGTATATAGGACATTTTTGGTGAGGATTATGAAATGTTATGTCAGTATTGTTATGTAGATTGGATCATAATTACACTTTGTAAGATGTATATAGGGAGTCTGTGTTTTCAAAAATTAGGTCAAAATTACCCAAATGCTTTCCAGTCACAATAATTTTGGGTGGCTTAATTTCTTTGTATATTTGATGCAGAAAAATGAGAATCAGTTGCTTCATTGTTTAAGACAGGAGTGGGGAATGTCCGGCCCACGGGTCTTATAAGGCCCGTAAAATCATTTGGTCTGGCCCTGCCAGGCATTAGTGGTGAGTTAATTAAATGTTTGACCAAATATAGCAGGCTGATTTTTAAGTTGATAATTTTGTATGGCCCTCCAATGATGTCATAAATATCCAAATAGCCCTTGTCTGAAAAAGGTTCCCCACTCTTGGGTTAAGGCCTAGCCTTGACTCAGTCTTGAATATAGTTCTTATCTCATTGGGAGAAGGGAAAGGAAATAAATTAATTACTTCACATAGTTACTGACTTTTGTTTAGCTCTGTACATAGTTGAATTCTTATTAAGGGGTCATCATAGCATGTACAGAATTATTTATATTTGTTTTAATGAGCTAGAGCTATTTTAAACCATCTTATACTTTCAATAGGACCATGACCGCCGGGTTCGAGAAGCCACACAGCAAGCTTTTGAAAAACTTATCCTCAAAGTTAAGAAACACTTGGCTCCTTATTTAAAAAGTTTAATGGGCTATTGGCTCATAGCTCAGTGTGACACGTACGCACCAGCCGCGTCCGCAGCAAAAGATGCCTTCGAAGCAGCCTTCCCTCCCAGCAAGCAGCCTGAAGCCATAGCATTCTGTAAGGATGAGATCACAAGTGTAAGTTCTTGCCACTCTTCTCTGTTTTTTTCTCAAGTATTTAAGGGATAGCAGGCATGTTACAATAACAGCTCTCTTACCTGGCATGAAGGAGTAAGTGTGTGGAGTCTTTCCAACGGAAAATTGTCTCTAAAAAATACATATATACGTGTGTGTGTGTGTGTGTGTGTATGTGTATATATATATGTATATATATATATGTATTCACACATATATATGTTCTTATTGATTTTTTTATGTGTATATATATGTATTCACACATATATATGTTCTTATTGATTTTTTTTTTAGAGAAAGGAGGGAAGAGGGATAGGGAGACAGAAACACTGATGAGAGAGAAACATCGATCAGTTGCCTCCTTCATGCCTCCTGCTGGGGATCCAGCCTGAAACACCCGTGCATGTGTCCTGCCTGGAATCGAACTGGGGACCTCTTGGTTCAACCACTGGGCCACAGCGGCTGGGCCAGAAGATTGTCTTTTTAAAATACAGTGGGGCCTTGACTTACAAGTGTCCTGACTAACGAGTTTTTTGAGATACCAGCTGTCTGGCTGATTTTTTGCATTGAGTTGATAGAGTAATTTGAGTTAACGAGCTCCTTAACGAGCTCCTTAACGAGCTCGGTCTCGGAACGAATTAAACTCGTAAGTCAAGGCCCCACTGTAGTGTTTAACACAACTGTTCATGTTGCATTTTAAATATAATTAACACTAGAGGCCTGGTGCACGAAAATCATGCACAGATAGGGTCCCTGGGCCTGGCCTGCTTTCAGGGCTGATTGGGGCCTCCTGGCTGCCGACTGGGGCCTGCCTTCATTCCGCGCTGCCCCCTGGTGGTTAGTGCACATCATAGCAAGCAGTTGAACTCTGGGTCTCCCGGTTGAACTCCTAAGGGGACACTTTGCATATTAGCCTTTTATATAGCTAGATGTTGGACTGGATCTTTCTAAACTGTTTAAATTTTCCATCTTTAATTTATGAATCTCAAACTATATTACCTAAAAAACTTAGATATATGCTTTGTAACATCTATCTATATACATATATAAAAGCCTAAGCAACCGTTAGGACCGGTCAATCGAATGAGCGGTCGACCGGTTGCTATGATGCGCACTGACCACCAGGGGCAGATGTTCAACGCAGGAGCTGCTCCCTGGTGGTCAGTACATTCCCACAGCCAACCTCCCACAGCCGGTTGACCAACATCCCACGGTCCCTTCCCCCGGCTGGCTGGCCTGATCGATCCCGATTGGGACTGATCGCCAGCCAGGCCGAGGGACCCCACCCGTGTATGAATTCGTGCCTCTAGTATAATATAAAAAGGTGTGCATCTAAAAATTCAATCTAAACTTATTTCCCCCCTGTATTTCCATATTAACATATGTTTACAGATCTACCTCACTCTTTTTTCTGGCTCTCTGGTATTCCTTTGTATGGATATATGACAGTCTAGTTAACTTTTAAAATATACATTTGTAGTTTTACCCCAATATTTTTAAGATAGCAAACACTACTTTAGTGGACATTCATGAGTAGATATCTTCCCACCTGTGGGAGTGATAACTATCAGCACTTTGAGTCATCATTTGTTGGGTCAAAAGATACTAGATACTGACAAATTACCCTTCAAATGGCCATACACATCTAGACTCCTATTAACACATCAGAAAGTTTCTTCAACTCCTGGCCCACACTTTACACACTGGTGTCAGCCATGACTTCTCAGCTTTCAGTTTGTCTGCATCTAGTACTATTTTCCTTACTTCTTCCCTCCTTTTTGCTATTCCTGAGATATGGACTGGAAAAACCAGATGACCAAGCTTCTCAGTATTACATGAAGTAGAAGTAGATGGACTGTGAGTGAGAGGGAGTTGAGGATCTAAAAAAGGTGTGCTTCCGTTCGTCCCCTATCCAGTGCTCCGGGGTCTTTAGAGCCCGTGTCTGTCCCCCCCCCCCCCCTCCTCCTGTCAGTGGGTCAGCCTTCCTGTGGGTTCCCCTCGTCGCTACAGCTGTGGACTCCAGGGCTCTTCATGGCTGGTCCTTCCCCGACGCCTCTCCCACAGGCACACATCTGCAGCCTCCTTCCCCAGGAGGTCTCGGTCCTACCAGGCTCCATTTCTCAGGTGTGCCAAGCTTGTCTTTCTAGGCGGAGGATTTGTACCTTCAGTCATCTTCTCAAAGGGACTTCTCTCACCCAACCACAGGGCCAGAGTCACTTGTTTATGTAAATATCAAGTGGTAACTGTTACGAAAGTGAAGTGGCATGAGTTTGGACACTAAGAGTTTTAGAAAATGCACCCTCGCTGGTTTGGCTCAGTGGATAGAGCATCAGTCTGTGGACTGGGGGGTCCCAGGTTCAATTCCAGTCAAGGGTACATGCATCCCCAGTGGGTTCGATTCCCAATGAGGGGCGTGCAGGAGGCAGTCGATCAATGATTCTCTCTCATCATTTTAAAAATATATTTTTATCGATTTCAGAGAGGATGGGAGAGGGAGAGAGATAGAAACATCAGTGATGAGAGAGAATCATTGATTGGCTGCCTCCTGCCACGCCCCGCACTGAGGATTGAGCCCGCAACCCCGGCATGTGCCCTTGACCGGAATCGAACCCGAGACCCTTCAGTCTGCAGGCCGATGCTCTATCCACTGAGCCAAGACGGCTAGGGCTTTCTCTCTCTTCCTTTTCCTCTCTCTGAATTCAATAAAAATATGTAAGATAAAAGTAAATTTTAAAAATATAAAAAATGTTTAAAGATAAGAGTTTTAGAAAATGGATTTTGAGATAACTGATTCGGCAGTTTGGAGTGGTGTGTGCTTTTGTTCTGGCTTTTTGTGGAACCCGTGGATGATTTCCTCTTTGTTATTTTCCCTTTAGCTTCTATCACAGTTCATTGCAGATACTAGGTTTGAACTTTCCCAAATACAAAACCAACTTATTAGAGGGGAGTTAGACAAATGAAGATCAGAATGCCAGGCTTAGACAGGATAGGATGTGCATTCTAGTTCCCCAGTTCAGGTCTCGGTTATACTGTCCGCGGACAGTGGATTGTGCTGCCTGTAAGATGAGGGCCTGGGTGATCCATTCGTTCCAGGGCCCCTCTTCCATCGTGAGGTGTGTGATCCCAGGCAACTTGCTGTCCCTCCGTTTCCCAATCTGTTACAACGGGAATTGTCCTCCACTCAGTCGTTGTGAGGACTGACTGAGGTGATGCGGGAAGTGTGCTCGGGCTTTGTCTGGCGTGTGGAAACGCTCAGGAAATGCCAGCGCTTGTGGTGCTGGTTAAGTTCACACGAGCCGGGTCCTCGCTTGTACTGGGCCCAGAAGTAGGCCGACGCACCCGGCATTTCCGACGGAATCTAGACCTGCCTGTGTGACGGGGCCGAGCACAGCTGTGTTCTTCTGTGAGCAGGGAGGCGCCCAGAGGGGGGAGGGGAGCAGGGCCTGCTTCTCGCCCGGACGTACTGACGTACTGACGTACTGACGGGGAGTCTATGCCGGCACCACCTGGGCCAGCGGACCGAGCAGCCAGGGCAGGCGTGTCTTGGGCTGCTTCCTCCTGATGGAAACAGCACTTGTTGGAGAAGTCACCCCAGTAGCAGCCAGTCTCGGGGATGGTAGGGAGAGAAAGTAAGTGCAAGTCAAACCTTTTAGCTTTGCTGCTTCATGTAGCTTCTTTGTGGGCGGGGGGAACGCGTTGAGGTGGGGTGAGGTTTGTGCTCTGCTGTCACCATTCAGTTCCATGAGTCTCAAGGCTCGGTTGTCCCCCTGCAGGTGCTGCAGGACCACCTGATAAAGGAAACACCCGACTCGCTCAGTGACCCACAGTAAGTGGCGCCGTGTAGCTCGTGTCAGGGCTTGTCTCCCTCCTGGGTTATAAGGGGGTTGCAGTGTGACATGTTTAGGGGGTGCTGCGTGCAGAGATGGAGACGCCCTGGGGTGCTGTTTGCAGGTGCTGTCCTATGTGCTGCTCCCTGTGGTCCGTCCTGTGTGAGGTGAATGGTCTGGGAGCCACATATTTGGTTTGTTTACAAAGAGATGCTTTTAGGTTTTCCCCACATGCACTTCTTTTTAAAAATATGTATTATTATTTTTTTTAAAATATATTTTATTGATTTTTTACAGAGTGGAAGGGAGAGAGATAGAGAGTTAGAAACATCGATGAGAGAGAAACATCGATCAGCTGCCTCCTGCACACCTCCCACTGGGGATGTGCCCGCAACCCAGGTACATGCCCTTGACCGGAATTGAACCTGGGACCCTTCAGTCCACAGGCCGACGCTCTATCCACTGAGCCAAACCGGTTTCGGCTAAAAATATGTATTATTGATTTTTTAACAATATATATCTTTTTTTATTGATTTCAGAGAGAAAGGGAGAGGGAGAGAGAGAAACATCAATGATGAAGAGAGAATCATGGATCGGCTGCCTCCTGCACGCCCCCTACTGGGCATGTGTCCTGACTGGGAATCAAATCGAGAGCCCCTGGTTCATGGCCTGATGCTCAGCCACTGAGCGACACCGGCCAGGCCACATTCACCTTTGACCGTCATCGCAGGAACCACTCTATGGTCTGGTTGAAAATAGTTGAAGAACTATGAATAGTTTCACTGAAATAGTAGCAAAATGTTCCCTTTACGTTTCTTATGTTGTAATCACACGGTTAAGAGTCTGTTGGGAAAGTAATCTTAGACATTTTAATTTTAAAAATATAGTTTGGCTTATACTCAATCCTTATACATATTTATTTTCTTTTTACAATAAGAACTGTTCCAGAGGAAGAGAGAGAAGCTAAATTCTATCGGGTTGTAACTTGTTCCTTATTGGCATTAAAGAAATTGCTTTGCCTCTTACCTGATAATGAACTTGATTCTCTGGAGGAGAAATTTAAGTCTCTTCTATCACAGAATAAATTTTGGAAGTATGGAAAACACAGTATACCTCAGGTATGTTAATCTTTTTTATTTTAAGACATTTCTCTGATTTATTTTTTTCCCTCTGATCTTGCTAGTTTGTTTATGCTTTATGTTTATTGTTTATGTTTAAAACTCTACAAATGTATCTCTGTGGTGGCACTGAATCACCTCTCTTACCAGATGTAACTGTATTTTCTCTTTGTTGTTTCTTATTTGGGCTTCAACATCAAAGTGAATTGTCATCCTCCTCACTCCTGGCACCGTGACCTTGTGGGGTGGACAGAGGCTCTTCTCATTGCATGTGTTTGTTCTTCCCGTTCCTTTCTGTCTCCCTCCTCCTCCTCCACCTCCACCAGCTGGCCATTCTAAACGTGCTTAAGTGGCATTGTGTTACATTCCATTCCATTTATTGCTTTTTACTTAGTACTTTTAAAAAGTACTAAAATACTTTAAACTCATCATGTTCCTATATGTGTATGTGGTCCATGGCTTCTAACTGCTGCGTAGTATTCAGAAGTGGGCCTCCACTCCATTTACCTGCTCATTCCCCCGTGACAGACACCCGGTTCCTCTAGTTCCTCGCCCTCACCGTTCTTCACTCATGCATCCTCAGACCTGTGAGAGCTTATTTTTCTGAAAACCTCTCATTGCTGAGTCCAGAGTAAATGCATACGGACTAACTTTCTGAAGTCGTGCTAGATTGCTCACCTGAACGGCCGTTACTCTCGACTGGACCATCAGTGCATGGAGTCCTACACAGTCTTCTGGTCCAGCCACAACTGCGCATCCTGCAGCTTCCTGGTTGTGACCAGAGTAGTAGGCGTTCAGGTGATCTCTGCTGAGTGACCTGTAGCATCTCTTCATAAGCTATTGATGTTGTTGTGTGTGGTTTTCTAATCTGCTTGTTCACATCTTTTTCTGCTTGGGAGGTGCTGGTGTTTTCATTCTCTTGGTCTGTGTCTCATGCTCTCATTGGTGTTTTTATCTTTTTCTCTTTTCAATCTACTTGGTGGATAATTTTTTTTGAACTGAGCTTTAAATAATTATGTATTTATTTACTTTTAGATTAGGAATTGTGTTTGCTTATTTTTCAGATCTGCTGTGCCTTTTCTAAGAGTCCTTCCTCTCAAATTTCTTTAAACTTTTGTTAACTATAATAAGGATTGTTGATACGGAGTTTGTAACTGATAATTTTAAGATTTAAAGTCTCAGATCTCTCTGTTACCTTTGGTTTCTACTGATAGCGACTCAAGGTGTCTTATTTTTGTCTGGCTCTATTGAACGTTGTGCTGCTAGTGTGTCTGCAGGCATAATCCACGGCCCCCCACAGAGGCTTCTGCACTTAGCTCTGTGTTTCCTTCAGCCACAGAAATGGGAAGTTGAATTCTTCCTGCCTTTAACTTTGGCTTGGTGATTCCTATTGGCTTCTCAGTCATTCGATACTCTTAAAAATATCCTTTGACGTATTTTTCTAGTTGTTTCAGTTTTATTAATGGGAGGGTTATGAATAACCTGTCTGTCCTTAACCATGAATAAAAGCCTATCCTAGTCCTATTTGGCTTGAATTTAATTCAACTTCTGTGTTTTCTTTTAGATCCGCTCAGCTTATTTTGAGTTAATTTCTGCTTTGTGCCAGCGTATTCCACAATTGATGAAGAAGGAAGCACCAAAAGTGAGCTCGTCTGTCCTACTTAGCATTGATGACAGCGACCCCATCGTCTGCCCTGCTCTCTGGGAAGCTGTACTGTATACACTTACAACCATTGAGGTACGTAAGAGAAGTATGTTTAGTACATCCGGGAACACTTATCTTGGAAAGAGCTTACTAGGTTATAATATCTAAAAGTTATTGGAAAAAGGCTTCTTGGAAATAAAATATTTAATCCAAAACTTGTGTAAATCATAAACTGATTATAAAATGGCAAAGAGTTTTTATTTACTTTCAGTTTAGCCAGTATCACTCATTCTTATGTGGCTCATTGAAGCAAGCATATCTGAATCTTATATTTAAGACTAAATATTGCTGTTCTTTTGAGAATGCAGCTTTTATAGAAATATTTTAATTGTAAGTAATTATTTCTGATGAATATTCTGGAAGCATGTTGGATACATGATACTATATGCAATAAATTTCTTATAATTTCAGAGTTTTTTGTGGTTTTTTTTTTAAGTCAATCATATTTATGCACAGTGATTTAGGATTTTTTAAAAAATATATTTTATTGATTTTTTACAGAGAGGAAGGGAGAGGGATAGAGAGCTAGAAACATTGATGAGAGAGAAACATCAATCAGCTGCCTCTTCACACCTCCCACTGGGGATGTGCCCGCAACCAAGGTACATGCCCTTGACCAGAATCGAACCTGGGACCCTTCAGTCCGCAGGCCGACGCTCTATCCACTGAGCCAAACCGGTTAGGGCGAGAGTTTTCGTTTTTAATGGCAGTGGGAGATGTTAGCTTTTTTATGTAGAATACTTGATTTTTATTTTAGAGACCTATGTGTCTTCTCTGTTAATTGGGAAAAGTGTGTTTATAATCTTTATTATTATCATCTTTCTTTGGTAGGACTGTTGGCTTCATGTAAATGCAAAAAAAAGTGTTTTTCCCAAACTTTCAGCTGTGGTTCGTGAAGGTGGTCGGGGTCTGGCCACTGTCATATACCCTTATCTTCTGCCATTCATCAGCAAACTCCCTCAGTCCATCACAGACCCCAGGCTGGACTTCTTCAGAAACTTCCTCACCTCTCTCGTTGCAGGGTAAGGAATTCAAAGTCTTGATCTTTAAAAATATTTTCTATTGATATCAGAGAGGAAGAGAGCGGATAGAAGCATCAGTGATGAGAAAGAATCATTGATCAGCTGCCTCCTGCACGCCCCCTACACTGGGGATCAAGCCTGCAACCCAGGCATGTGCCCGAATCCGGAATCAAACTGTGACCTCCTGGTTCATAGGTTGAAGCTCAGCCATTGAGCCACACTGGCCTGGCTAGAGTCATGATCTTTAAAGTGAAGGAGATTTCTATTATTTTCACAGATAAGTAGAAGATATATATATATTATTGTCTTTCTTATTTAAATTTCCGCAAAATTGCTTTACTGTTCATTAAACACTTTTCAGGTTTTCAGAGAATTAAATTGAAATTTTTCTTGGGTACTTGAGGCTTTTTTCACAGTTCTTCAGGTTTACATTCTAATCAGGCTGTATTTGTTCTTAGTTTTCAGTTTAAGAATTTTATTTGTAAAAATTCATCTCCTTTTGGTATGATGCCTTTTCCATGACTTTATTTTGGTGTTTCTGCATTGCTTATATTCTTTTTTTTGAAAGAGTAAGCCACAGTTATTTGTTATTTCAGGCTGTCGACAGAGAGAATTAAAACCAGCTTCTCAGAGTGCTCAGCAGTGATGTCTGCTTTTTTTGAATGCCTACGTTTTATAATGCAGCAAAGCTTAGGTGAGGAGGAGATGGAGGAGATGCTCGTCAATGACCAGGTATCATAGAGTGAAAACCACCAGTGCCTCTCCCACTGACCATGAAGAGTCCAGCTCATTGTGTCTTGTTGCCATTTCTATTGATTAGCCTTCCTGCTAAGGGTTTCACAGCTGCTAGAGAATAGTATTATACTGTCATGCCTGAGGACTGGTCGCTGGATGTACAAGAAGATGCTATTTGTGATCTTTTGTATTAAGTTTAAATAATGCATCAGTTATTTATTACTTCTAAAATATTTACATACATGTATCCTTTTTAAAATATATATATTTTTATTGATTTTAGAGAGGAAGGAAGAGGGAGAGAGAGAGAGAGAGAAACATCAATGATGAGAGAATCATTGATTGGCTTCCTCCCGCACGCCCCTTACTGGGTATTGAGCCCAACCTGGGCAATGTGCCCTGACCGGGAATTGAACTGTGACCTCTTGGTTCCTGGGTTGCTGCTCAACCTCTTAGCCATGCCCGGCTGGGTCTTGTATCCTTTTGTGGACAGTTGTGCTTGGCTCTTAGAACCAGTGTTGCGAGCAGGTGTTGGAATGTGGCTCTTCCGATGGGAAGTTAATTGATGTAATATAAGCCCAGATCCTACTGGGTGTCTCACATAGTTAACTTCTCTTATTTTTGTAATGTAATAAAAAGGGTTCTGATTTCTGTAGGTCTTCTGTGTCTTTCATAATGGCTTAGAAAATAAGAAAACTTGAATAACTTCAGAAGATGAAGAGAAAACTATATTACCTGTTAATGACAGTAATCTTGGCTAATCATATCATAAAAACGAAGTAATGCAGGGGAATAGCGTGAACTGGTTATGCTCTTTCTATGATGTGAAAATGATGTTCAAGTTAACTCTTTTCAGAGTTCGGGGGAAAATCCATGTTTTTCATTCATTAAATATGAACATTTATAATGTCTTACAAATACCTTGTTTAAATTTTATTTCTCCTGAAAACAGAACTTTCCTGTTTCATCTTGTTTTTCAGTTGATTCCTGTGATTGACACGGCTCTCAAAGACCCAAGATTGCAAGATGGGCAACTCTTTGACTATTTAGCAGAAACTTTAAGTTCTTGGGAAGCCAAAGCAGATAAGGAGAAAAATGATAAAGCGGCTCAGAACTTTGAGAAAGTGCTGCTGAATTTCTGGGGGAGGCTCTCAGAGATCTGTTACGCGAAGATCGATGAGCCAGAGGCTGATGTGAGGTCGGTCTCAGGTGTATCGAGTCTATTGCAGGTCCTTCAGAAGCCGAGCAGCTCACTGAAGTCAAATAACAAAAAAGTGGGTAAAGTCAGATTTGCTGATGAGATGCCTGAAAGTAACAAAGAGAATGAGGAGCGTGTCTCCTCTGAAGGGCAGAGCAGTGAGGGCTGTGAGCTGGTGGCTAAGCCTCCTCCCTCCCGTTCCGGCTCAGACTGTCTGTCTCTGCGGCGGAAGAAACCGCTGGAAGACTTAGTCTGCAGACTAGCAGAGATGAGTATTAATTATGTCAACGAACAGAAGTCAGAGCAACACCTACGGTTTCTTTCCACTCTGCTCAGTTCCTTCTCTTCAACCCAAGTATTTAAGATGCTCCTAGGTGATGAAAAGCCGAGTATCGTCAAATCCAAACCCCTGGAAATAGCCAAACTTATACAGAAAAACCCAGCAGTGCAGTTCCTATACCAGAAAGTGGTCGGTTGGCTGAACGAAGACACTAGGAAGGAGGCCAGCTTCGTGGTGGACATTCTGTACAGTGCCCTCTGTTGCTGTGAGGATGAGAAGGAGAGAAAAGACATCCTGGATGATCTAACGGAGGTATCACTGCTGTCAGTCTTTTCACAGGAGTGGTTTGCACCGCACTGTGACCACAGACAAGGAGAGTGGGTCCTGCCGGGGGATGTGGGGGCTGTTTCTAAGCACAAGCAATGCATTTATTGACTGTGACTTGGGAAGAGTGTGAGACTTCGGTGGGTGTCAGATGAGAGCGTGGACGTAAAAGGGTGAGTGCTTTCACTCCATACGTTAAAGTTGGATGAGCTAAAACAGGTTTGTTTTTTCGGTGATGACATGTTACTCTACGTGTGTGTTTAGTGTTCCTCCCAGAGATTGTTTCTGAGTCTTTTTCTTCTTTCAGGTGGATCTGAAATGGAATTCGGTTCTTCAGGTCATTGAAAAGGTATACAGGGATTATTTCCTTTTTCTCTGTGTATTTATGGGTATAGAAAAACTAACACCACAGTCACAGTCACACCCTGGAATGTGGTCAGGTGTCTGTTAGAGGACTTCCTCGTTACTGTAACTTCCCATCACTGGGGAGGACGTTGGTGCTGGCCTTTCTGTAGTGTTTTTCTGGTTAGGAATATCGGGGATGGATGAACAGGCTCTGGGAAATCCAGGGGTTCTTCTTAGCAGGTAACAAAGGCAGAGTTAAAAGTTTATTTTTTAAACAAAGCCTACAATTTCTACTCTTGCCCTAGTTACTTTTCCTTCTATATAAATGGACTGAGAGGCTCTAGCTTTGGCTAGAACACATCAGGAATTTTGTTGGCCCAGCTTCCAGCCTTTGATGGCCACTGGACTAAATAAGAAATTGGTGATGAGAATAATGAAAATAAATCAAGGAACATAAACAATTTCGAAAATTACTAGCTTCAGTAGTCTTTCCTAATGAAGGTACAAATGTAACAACACATTTCTACCCCTAGAAATGTTATGACTAGCTATAAAACAATTTTAGATTATTTTTTAAGTTTTATACAGATAACTCTTTAATTTACAAGTGTTTTCCTATCTTTAAAAAATTTTTTTTTTAATTTCAGAGAGGAAGAGAGAGGGAGAGAGAGATAGAAACATCAGTGATGAGAGAGAATCATTGATTGGCTGCCTCCTGCATGCCCCCCATTGGGGATCAAGCCCGAAACGGGGGCATGTGCCCTTGACCGGAATTGAACCTGGGACCATTCAGCCCACAGGCTGATGCTCTATCCACTGAGCCAAACCGACTAGGGCATTTTTCTCTTTTAAAATTATGGTACAGCTCTGACCACGTAGCTCAGTTAGTTAGAGCTTTCCTAATAGACCAGTGATTCCCAAAGTGGGCGCTACTGCCCCCTGGTAGGCGCTGCAGCGATCCAGGGGGGCGGTGATGGCCACAGGTGCATTTGAGGGCGATGAGTAACTGCTATTAAAATTAAAAAAAAATTAATTTCCAGGGGCTAATATTTTTTCTGGAAAGGGGGCGGTAGGCCAAATAAGTTTGGGAACCACTGTAATAGACCAAAGTTGCAGGTTTGATTCCTGGTCAGGGCACATACATGAATCAGCCAATGAATGTATAAATAAATCGATGTTTCTCTCTCTCTCTCTCTCTCTCTCTCTCTCTCTCTCTCTCATCAATAAAAAATAACTGAAAACAAAATGAAGTTATGTTATAACATAGTAAAACTTACCACCTGAACCGTGCCTCAGTGTGCTGTGCAGTAGTGTTACGTGTACTCACATTATTGTGCAGCCATTTTCCAGGGCTTTTTCATCTTGCAAAACGGAAGCTCTGCCAATAACTCAGGGACTTCCCCTTCCCCCCAATAGTTTATTTTCACAAAAGAAAAACAGAAGGTTACCGTTTTTCAGTGAGAAATGTAACGTACCTGGCACATCTCTGCATTAGCTTACCCAGTGCCTTCTCCCCATAGGCGGGCTGCGTGGAGAGCCACCCTGACGAGAGCTGCTTGACAGGTCTAGGGTCAGAGTGAGGGCGGCCGAGACGCCGGTGAGAGAGCGTGCACTCAGGCCGCTGGGGAAAGGGCCTGCCTGCAGTCCAGGCACAGGTGCTGGAAGGCTGTCCTCCTGGGCAGGGTTTGCCTGCCTCCCGCACGTGCTAGCAGACGCTTCCCGTCTCCTCAAAGCTGGTCTCATTCTCTCTGTAGCTGCGTTAGAACAGTGAGGCGTTGAACTTCACATCTTGCTAACCGAGACACATTTTATTCAGAAGATTATTTTCTGGATTCTGGAGGATTCTGTAAAATAGATTGGTTTATTTGGTAAGCTGTATTAGGAAAGCCTATTTTGTAGCCGTCTAAACTCTAGTTTCCCTTGTTTTTTATGCAGCCTCATACTTTGAGCAGAGTCCTAAAGTCACCCTCTTTAAAAACTACCTGAATTTTGTATCTAGAAAGAGACCTTGGATATTTTCTAGTTTAATCTTCGTTTTTCAAATAAGGAAATAGGTCCAGGTTGATTTAAGAGATTTGTCCAGCCCTAGCTGGTTTGGCTTCGTGCATAGAGCATTGACCTGTGGACTGAAGGGTCCTGGGTTCAATTCCGGTCAAGGGCACATGCCCGGGTTTTGGACTCGATCCCCAGTAGGGGGTGTGCAGAAGGCAGCCAATCAGTGATTCTTTCTCATCATTGATGTTTCTATCTATCTCTCCCTCCCTTTTCCGTCCTCCCTGAAATCAATAAAAAATGTTAAAAAGAGAGAGAGAGTTTTGTCTAAAGCACTAGTCCGGTGGTAGTTCAGTTGGTTGGAATGTCATCCTATCCCAAAAGGTTACGGGTTTGATTTCCCATCAAGACACATAAGTTGCTAGTTCGTTCACTGGTCCAGGCCTGTATGGGAGACACTTGATCTCTCTCTCTCTCTCTCTCTCTCTCTCTCTCTCTCTCTCCCTCCCTCCCCTCCTTTCCCCACCACCACCCTTTCCTTCCTCTCTCTCTAAACATCAATGAAGCCGAAACCGGTTTGGCTCAGTGGATAGAGCGTCGGCCTGAGGACTAAGGGGTCCCGGGTTCGATTCCGGTCAAGGGCATGTACCTGAGTTGTGGGCGCATCCCCAGTGGGAGATGTGCAGGAGGCAGCTGATCGGTGTTTCTCTCTCATCGATGTTTCTCTCTCATCGATGTTTCTGACTCTATCTCTCTCCTTTCCTCTCTGTAAAAAATCAATAAAATATATTTAAAAAAAAAAAAAAAAAAATAAACATCAATGAAAACATATACTCAGGTGAGGATTTAAAAAAAGAGATTTGCCCAAAGTCATAAAGCCAGAATAGTGGTAAAACTTGGGCTAAAATAAAAGCTCTGGTTATCTGCAATTTTTTTTCATCTTTATTGAGAGTATCACAGATGTCCCCCCTTTACCTACAATTTTTTAAGTAAAAGGATAAAGTTTTTCAGGCACTACCCAATCCACACTTGGATTTTTTTTTTCTTCATAGATTGCTTTGAAATGAACCAAGTTGCAAATTCCTTTCTTCTCAGCCCTTAAAGCAAAAGAAGTTCTGGGAACATGGACCAGCATGCTTTTGGGGGTGGACTTACACCTTTTTTCCTTGCTTCCCCACCCCATGAAAATAAACCAGATGCTGTCAGATATCTGGCCCTGGTAACTTTTTCAAAGAATTTGTGGAAATATTAAGTCCCATAACTCATATTGAAGTAATTTACCATTATTACATATTAATTGTTCTTTAATTTAGCAAAATTAATGAACAAAATTGAATACCTGTAGAGCATTTAAAAAAAAGTGTCCTCCAACTTGAGCCCTCTGTTGTTGAGCATGTCTGCAGTGTCGATAGGTGTCAAAGAAGTTTAAGACAGTCTCTGCTCAAGGAACTGACAGTCCCATTGGAAACAAGACACACGCAGATGAAACAGAGTAAATAGTAATGCAGTCCAGTAAGTGCCTAGACAGTCTGCGACAGTTAGTGATGAGCATGGGCTGGAGAGGATGGGGGTTCACGCGGCAGGCGGGATGGTGATGAGTGGGAAGCGGGGGACTCCTGGTGGGGAGATGGGTGAGGAGCGCGTGGAGTGCAGTGAGCAAGGCCGAGTGGGAGCAGGAGACCCAGCCTTGGACCCGAGGAGGAGGAGGAGGAGGAGGAGGCGGGGCGTGGTGCCGGCCACGTGACAAAGGGAGGCATATGGACGGGCACAGTGCTCTGTTAGGCAGATAAACGTTTTGATCTTCTCTCTAATCACTGCTCTAATTGTGATTTTAGGCATGTTCTAGTTCAGATAAACACGCTTTGGTAATTTCTTGGCTGAAAGGAGACGTCCTTGGAGAGAAGTTGGTGACCTTGGCAGATCATCTTTGCAACAAGGACTTGGGATCTCCAGTGACTCCTGAACCTTACTTCTCAGAACGATGGGCTCTCTTACGCTTGGTGTTGTCCCAACATGTTAACAATGGTAGGCAAAACGACGCTTTTGTCTTTCAGTAGGAATAATACTGTCACTTGGGTTTCATGCGCCCAAGTTTGCATATTACTGGTTGAGAATAACAAGACATACTTCATTAAAATATCTTAATTTTGTAAGTACCCTAAATGTTTGCTAATCTTTGTAGCATGACTTGGATGACACTTAATATCTTTAGTTTATTATTTCTAAAGGGTTTTGAATTTAGCAAAGTTCTTTGTTCTAATTTTGTAGAGCATTGTTTTTAAATTTAACGTAAAGATGCTTTTTTTTAAAGTGTATTCTTATTGATTTCAGAGAGGAAGGGAGAGGGAGAGATATAGAGACATTAATAATGAGCGAGAATTATTGATCGGCTGCCTCCTGTACGCCCCACACTGGAGATCGAGCCTACAACCTGGGTATGTGCCCTGACCAGGAATCAAACCGTGACCTCCTGGCTCATAGGTCGACGCTCAACCACTGAGCAACCCAGCCGGGCTAGAGCTGCTTTTTTACATGAGGGCTTTTCTATGTGAGAACAGATTGACTGGCTGATAGGATTTTCTTTTGTCTAATACACTAGTACCTTATTCTTTTTTTTAATACATAGAAAGACTCAAGTGGAAGTTATTCAAAATTATACTGCTAATATTTTAATTGTGATTATTTTTCTCTAGATTACTTGATTGGAGAGGTATATGTTGAAAGAATTATTGTTAAACTTCATGAAACCTTATCCAACATAAAGAAATTGTCAGAAGCTGAAAATATTGACTCGTCGGTGTCTTTTACCTGCGATGTGGCCTATGACTATTTCAGCTCAGCGACAGGGTGCTTGCTGGTGCCGTCCTCGGAAGACTTACTGCTCACTCTCTTTCAGTTGTGTGCTCAGAGCAGAGCACACGGGCGCCTGCCAGGTAACAGCCCACGGCTCACAGGTCCTGCTGGAAGCTCTGGCCCTGCCCTTCGCAGGGTCCGTGCCAGGCTTCGTTAACTGAGTCGTAATGTGTGTGACAGTTCAGACTCTTTTGAGTAAAGGACTGCAAATCTTAAACACTTTCAGCTTTGAAAGCACGTTAAGATGTATAGAGACACGATGTCTAAAGTTCTTACGTGATATCAAGGAAGTCCTTTTGCAAGGGGCCCTGGTTAGAATGTTAGCCCTTTACTCAGAGCTTTGGCAGTTTGCTTAATTTCTTCATGCCTCAGTTCCCACATTTATTAACATCTCTTTCCTTCTCTTAACACATTGCGGACCAGTAGTTTTATCGCTAGCTTTACCCAGTGGCCAGATAAGTTTCTATTGAACAAGTACAAAAAACGTTTTACATAAATGTTAAAGGCACACTTTAAAATTAAATACCCATTGCATTTTGAAGTTATTACATGTTCTTACAAGCAAATATCTTTTTAAAGTATGATACTTTGTGAAACACTGCGTAATATGAAAACATGAGAATTCTCATGATCCATCCACAATGTTAATAGAAACTTTCAATCTTGATGTATGTCAAAATGAAATTTAGATTGTCTTTTTAAGGACTATATTCTGCCTTGTGTTAATTTAGACTTATTTATAAAAGGAATATTTAAAAATACTATTGATAGGGAGCCCTCCTCTCCAACCCTTCTTCAGTGCTAACTTCTCTATTTGGAAAAGGTATACTATTTTTCACATCTCCTAAAGGACACTTTTCTTGTAAAGAATTTCAGAACAGAAAAAAGCTAACTTTAAAAATCGTACCATTTTTTACCTTACGTGGCATGAGCTAGCTTTATTATTGCATATTTATGACACATTTTGTTTGACATTGAGTAGTAATTTTTGTTTTCTTTTCTAAATGGCACTGTAGAATTCTGAGATCTGCAGTGAGTTCTTTCAGATGTTTTGTAATGATCATAGTTACTCCAGTGGGATTACAAATTCCTGTTGACATTTTGATTTTAGACTTCCTTATCTGTAAACTGAAAAACACTTGGCTCTCTGGCGTGAATTTATTGGTCCAGCACCCCGGCCGTCCAGGTCAGCAGAGTGCCTTCCTGCGCGCGTCGGCGCGGTGGCTGAAGGCCCAGGCGCAGTCTCCGTCTCTGGACCTGACGAGGTGACCATGTCTGTGCTCATTTGCACAGCATCTCTTATTACTTGATCACTGTCCTGACCTCAGGCTCCATAACTAGTGTGGGTGCCTGTGAAAAATGACTTGTTACGTAAGAAATCGATAGGACTCCAGAGAGGATTTTCCACGTGGGTCATCGTTTAAGCTCATGGAAGAGTGACTGTTGTGACAGACCCACCCACTCCTGGCTGGTGCTGGTGCTGTCCTCTGGGCGGGTGTGACCACGGCCTCTCCTGGCTGGTCACTGATGGTTCTCGCCTGGTGACCTGGCTGGTCTGGCAGCCACTGTTTCAAGGCGTTTGCATTGCAGTGTATTTCACAGCTCAACCTAAACCCACTTATAAAAGTGGAAACGAAGCAGGTGCACCCAGAGGCCTTGGGATTGAGGCAGATATTTGTCTGGTCACCATGTTCTTTTTGTGGAACAAGGGAGCTGCGTTTCAGAAAGGTCGGATCTGAAGTAGGGCAGGTCCCCTGCATGCGGAGGTGCAAGTATCACTCAATTCAAAGTCATAGATGTGGGGCTGCATCCCCAGGTGGCCTGTGTGTGTTGGGAGGAGGGGCGTGGACAGGCCGCCTGCATGTGCTTTGCTGGTCGTTGAGTTCAGGTAAGCTGTTCCTGCCGTGGGCATTCACCACATGCCAGGTGCTCAGGTCAGTCAGCATCACTGCGCAGCTGAGTTCTCTGCGTGATTTCCAGCCTCCAGGGACTCTTGTCTGCTGTTGACGACTTGCTGAACAAGCTCTTGGAGAGTGAAGATCCTTCCCTCCTGGGCGTCTACATTGGGAGTGTGATGCCGGACCACAGGGAGTGGGAGAAGATGAGACAGTCTCTGCCCAAGCAGGTATGTTTGAGGCTGGAGAGCGTTTCTCGTTCTGAGGTTTGGATTTCATGCGAGGTTAAATGTATTAATTTCTGGCGAAGAAAAGCAAGTAAGTGAGATGAGTAGCTCACTTTGCTCTTATGCCTCTGAATGCTCTGTATCGTATATGGTGTCCGTAGGGTCTGCAGAAACATGCATATGAGAGGCTCCTGTAGCAGAAACCAAAGCTTAGGCTTCTGTGGTGGTGCTAATGACTTCATTTTTGAAGTTATTTTAATGACAGTTTGAATATTCTGATAACTGTATTTTTGTTCCCTGTCTTAGTTGTTGTATACTTGGTGGTAAATAGAATATGTAATGACTTTGTATATAATTTATGTTTTTACAGTGGTTGCATAGACCTCTTTTAGAAGGACGACTGAGCTTGAATTATGAGTGTTTCAAAGCAGATTTTAAAGAACAAGATACAAAGGAACTTCCTAGCCATTTGTGTACTTCGGCATTATTGAGCAAAATGATATTAGTTGCACTGAAAAAGGAAATAGTCCTAGAAAATAATGAGCTTGAGAAGATAAGTAAGTATATGTGAGCATAAATACGAATTTTGTAATACTTTAGATTATACTGCGACTTAAATCTTTAAAGAATCAAGATCTTCAGCTCCTAATTAACTCTTAGTAATGAGAAATGTGAGGTCAGTTAAGTGATGAATGTTAAGTTTCAAGTCGGGTGGAACCGTGAAATCGTGGCTCTCACCCGTCGGGTGTTGAGCGGAATTTGGTGTCAGCACACTTGTCAAGCCAGCAGGACAGAGCATCCGCGGACCCCGCGTCCTGCGCCGTGAGGATGTGCTAGCGAGGCTGGTGGCTCACGAGGGCCCTGACTCTGACGTGAGGTGTGGACACTGTCCTCTTCTCCGTCGGGATGAAGTCCTTTTCCTGGCAGTGGGCTCCCAGGGTGTGGAATCGCAGGTCCCTGGGACCTAGACGTGGAGGTCCATGCGCTGGCAGTGGAGGGCCTTTCCAGTTCCTGTGTCGGCTCGTGGGCAAGCCCTCAGCCGGGACCTCGCGGGGCGGAGGCTGTGCCTGAGGAGGCAGCAGAGCACTGACTGGCCAGCTCCACGTGCCGTGAAGGGCAAGGAGATGAGCACACGGGACAGTGCTCAGAGCAGAACTGGAAAGTAGAGCATCATTTTTGTGATCACTTATTTTTGTTAACTGTGTCACTAATTCCAAACGGACAACATCATGTATTCAATCTTCTCATCAATCCTATCAGTTAGATGTGACTGCTTTTCTTATCTTTTCTTCCTAATTTTTAAAAATACATTTTTATTGATTTTAGAAAGGAAGGGGGGGGGGGGGGGAGAGAGAGAAACATCAATGATGAAAGAGAATCATTGATTGGTTGACTCCTGCATGCCCCCTACTGAGGGTTGAGCCCACAGCCCGGGCATGTGCCCTGACCAGAAATAGAACTCTGACCTCCTGGTTCATAGGTCGATGCTCAACCACTGAGCCATGCCGGCCGGGCTGATTTGCTTAGAATTACTTAGCTTAAAAAGGAGAGGATTAGATTTTTAGCCAGGTCTCTAGCTTTCTGACTTCAAAATCCAAATCATACATGGATTTATAAAAGAGAGTTGTGACTAAATGAGAGTTGTAACTAGTTGATAACTTTGTGGACAGCCCATTGGAAGACAGCCCCATCAGTCGCCGAAGCCCCGCCCCATGCTGCATTCTGCTGCCCGTTCTTAACACACTGGCCGGAATGTCTCCCTTGGGCCGTGGATCCCTTAGTTGTTTATCTGGTAACGCAGGTTTCTGTCACATTTCTAACGGTCCACATGGGATGAAGTAAGACTTGGGAGAGGAGTGGTACGTTGTATCAAACACATGTTCTCAGTGCTCATCATCTTGAAAACCTCAGAGCAGATTTGAATCAGTTCACAGATCTTCTGAGACGAGTGGACATAAACCAGTGTTAGGAAATGGGGCCGGGGAGTGACAGGACGGGAGGTGGTGGGCAGAGCGCATCTGTGACCTGCACCCCTTCTCAGCCGCAGAGCTGCTCTACTCGCTGCAGTGGTGTGAGGAGCTGGACAGCCCGCCTGCCCTCCTCACCGGGTTCTGTGAAATGCTGGAAAAAATGAATATCACATACGATAACTTATGTGGACTTGGTAATACGCCTGGCCTTTTGCACCTGCTGTTTAACAGGTAAAAATCACTTGCTAGTTCCATTTTTTAAATGACCATTTTACTACTTTATGGCTTGTTTCTAAAAAATTAAGCCCTCTTCATACTAATTTTTCAGTCAGAGGTTGATCTAAATTAATCCGAATTTTTAATGATAAAAACTTATGGGTACCAGGTACTGTTTATATTTATGGGGAGATATTTGAACTTTGCTGGTGTTATTATTGTATGAACATGTTCAAGGGGCAGGTGATGGAGGAACAGCCTGTGGCCGTGGCTTCAGCTTGCCTCTGCCCCGTTCTCCGCGGCTGGGCATCCCGAGTGCCTGTGCTGCGTGTTCTTGCAGTTGCCTCTGATGTTAGAATCATAAACCCTCCCCCGGGGTGAGGAGTCGGGTAGAAACCAGTCGTCGAAGAGGTCGCGGCCGGCAGAGGTCTAGTGGTTGAAATTGCTGGGTCGACGGCTGGACAGGGCTTCCTCTGCCGTCCCACTGCGCGCACTGCCCCGCGGCACTCGCCTCCGCAGCCTCCGCGTCCCCGGGATGTGCCCTCTCCCCGGTGCACTGCTGTGTGAGGTCGTCCCTGTGGGGACGCGGGGGCTGAGGGCGCCCTGGGCTGGGGCGTTCTGTCAGGAGCCTCAGCTCCCAGTCCCTCCAGTCACGCAGTTGTTCAGGTGCAGGGAGTCCTGTGGAGGTGACGCCCCCGTGAGGGGGTTTCATTCTGTAACAGAAATCCAGGATTTATTTAATTCTGCAACAGTGTTTAAAAGTCTTACGTACACTTTCTAAATAGGTTTTATTTCCTCCTTTTTTAGATCCATGGAACATGGCACCCTGTGGTCTCTTATTATTGCTAAATTGGTCCGTTCCGGAAGTGTGTCACCTGATGACGTAAAGCAGCATTACAGGAGGAAAGAAGGGTAGACTCACTTAAATGTTTTACTTTGTAATGTGTCGTTTGACCACCTCGGCTCCCTCCAACTAGTAGTGTCTGAGGAATCGGGAAAACACGGTCCAGGGGATGAAGAAATTAAGTGAAAGGAAATGAGCATTAAAGACAAAACAATTTCAATTGCTTTAGGTTTGGAACACTCTTTTTTATAATAAGCAATTTTAACTTTATAACACTGTTGTGGAATTTCATACTTGTTTTACACAAGTAGCATTTCATAAACTTGTTCTCTTTCCCCAAAAATCTCTGTTAGATGTCTTTCCTTTTTCCGTCTCTTACATCCTTTTCCATTACATCATTTGCTCTATGAAAATTTCCTTAATCTTCTCTGCATAGGGGTCACCCTATGGAAGCATATTCTAGAAATGCAGTAAGTACGTTCCTAAGACAAAGAGCTAAGCTGTGGTTGGAGATACGAGAGGTGTAGCTCGATCTGCTAGAGAAAGAGGCCGGGCGCCCAGGAAGCACTCGGCTGAGGCTCTCCAAGGACTTGGAATTGACTGACTTCCGAGAAGTAGTCAAGGGTGATGTGTATGTTCTGGCACAGCAGAATTGTGAACCGAATGTCAGTGTTTTAAATCTTATTTAAAATTGTTAAAACTTAGTACTTTGATATAATGACAAATTTATTATTTTGAGATAATTAAAGATTCACATGCAAATTATAAGAACTAATACAAAGAGATTCCATAGTTCAGTTTCCCCCATTGGCACCATTTTGCGTAACTTTAGTGCAATTTCACAACTAAGAAAATGGCCTGGATGCGATCTGTCCACCAGGTTACATGTGGTCATTTGCTTCCGTGTGTTCTGTGTAGATCACATGTGTGACCACCAGTTACCAAAGTCTCAAAGG